TATATATATATTTTTTTTTTTTTATATATATATATATATATATATATATATATATATATATATATATGTACTTATATATATTTTTTTTTTATATTTTATATATACAAGGTCCCGCCACTACCGCATTATCTTTTAAGAGCGGATTCCTGAGATAATATGAATAAAAAATCCTAATGCAAAAATGGCGAGGCTATGATACTTTTCAAATTATAAACGATTAAAATTGACCAATTTTACTGGCTAAAGTACGCGCGCTCAGGTACGGTATAACACACAATGGTACAGGTGCATGCACATGTCGTCCCTTTTCCAAATATTGATACGGAAGTTCCATACATACAACAACGTATGTAATAATAATCTGTCTTTTCTATCATTTAAATAAACATATCGCAAATAATAACAATGTCGTCAAAATGTTATGAATAAAATATCACAATACATTTATGAGAATCAATAAACTGTCATACATTTAACATTTCTTTCAGAAATTTACAACTAATTTCATATCTTATGCAAATTTTCAGTTATGTGCATGCACCTGTACCATTGTGTGTTGTACCTGAGCGCGCGTACTTTAGTCAATATTATTGGTCAACTTTAATCGTTTATAATTTTAAAAGTATTATAGCCTCGATATTTTTGCATTAGGATTTTTTTCTTTAAATTACCTTAAGAATTCGTCGTTAAGAGATAATGCGGTAGTGGCGGGACACCCTGTATATATAATTTTATATTTATAGAAAAGTTTTGTCTCTCTCTCTCTCTCTCTCTCTCTCTCTCTCTCTCTCTTTTCCTCCTCTCTCCTTGACTTTTACGTTGTGAGTCAAGAATAAAAAAAGAAAAAATTCAGGGCGAGTCCCATCATCAAAACGCAGCATTAGCAAATAGGAGCTCGCGCTTTTGAATTTACAATCTTGGTTTAATCAATCATATCTAATAACGTGTGCGTTATTTATGTAGCCAACCACATACACACACATGCTCTCTCCCCGTTCATATTAGATTTCCTATCTAATTTGGGAATATTGAATATTCGATCATTCCAGCACGGATATTACGTTGCACGCATCGCCGCGGGCACGTTATTTCGAATTGTACGGATCCCCACTAATACCAATACCGACTTCGAGATACATTTATCAAAATTCTAAAGCTGTCGCGATAATCCGCGCAGCACCCCGCGGCCGATTTCGAATATTATAATTTATGATGACGCGCGGAATTGCCGTTATCGCGTATTTTCCGCGAAAACGATGGCGCTTAGATGTCGCGCGAACGGGTTATATCTTTAATTTTGTACCAATTCTTCTGTCTATTTTCTTCTCTAGGTCAGTTTCTTTTCGCTGAACTAGTGTACAACACTTACGAAACTTAAGGACGTTGTAAGGTGCAGTGTATTTTTAGTAGCGTACCAAGGGAACTACTTATAGACTTATTATTCACAGAACAAAATTATGTTCTGTACATTTATTTTATTATCTAAATAATAAATGTTAAAGCTCTTATTTACTTACACTGCCGAACTCTTAATTGATGACATTAGAAGCGAGGAAATGCATAACATTTCTGCAAGAAACATTAAAATAAAAAGATATATCCAATTAAGCACACCTCTGAATTACTTTCTAAACACTTTCTCTTTATTTTGATAATTAATAAATAACCGTAAAATTAACGTGACATGTCACGTCATCCTTTTTTAACTTTATCATATTCATCATTATTTCCTCATATTAATTTTAAGTTAATTTTAAGTTAATTTTAAGTTAATTTTAGGTTATTTATTGATTGTTACAAGAAGAAAAGCGTTCAGAGTATTTTAAAAAATATGTTTAATCGATTGCAAGTGTTATTTTCTGGACTCATCCTTTTATTTCAACGTTAACTTTGAGCGTACATTTCCTTGGTCTTTTAATGTCATAAATTAAGGTAGCCGCGACGAGCAGCCAGGAGTCTTAATTTGAGATAAAATTATATATAAGATGAGTATATCGAATGTCTGACTGCACAATATACTTATTTCGTGTAAATTAAGTCAAACTGAATAAAAAATTCCTCTACTATTTTGTAAACAAAGACTTAAAATATTTAATTATTAATTAAAGAAGATGTTTTTTAATTAATGTGTGATACCGTGAGTGTCTTTACAATTCAGTTGACCTAATAGAGATGTACAGATAATAGACAGAAGTATATAGATGTTTAAATATACGTATATGTGTCGTATATGACAAATACATATATCTATATATGTATATGTATCTGTATCTTGAGTATTACTATAAGTTATGTACTTTCAAAAATGTACTGATTGTGTACTAATATGTATATGTATTTTGAGTATTACTATAAGTTATGTACTTTCAAAATAAATAAAGCTGTTATTTTCAGATAAAACAGTCAATAATTCTATAAGTTGTGAATAAAGTACATTTTTATTTAACATTTTAACTTTAACATTTATTATTTAGATAATAAAATAAATGTACAGAACATAATTTTGTTCTATGAATGTACATCTTTAATGTCATAGTAGTTTTTCAATAAAACTTCTATTTTAGTTTACAAGAAATTAAAAATAACGTGCTAACTCTAATAAACACGTATAAAAAATGTCGACTTCAATTTTAAATCAATCTCTCTCTCTCTCTCTCTCTCTCTCTCTCTCTCTCTCTCCCTCTCTCTCTCTCAATTACAGAATAAAGTCTTTTTCTAATTAATATCAGTAGTTAGATAATATTTCAATTTATATGTATTACGATGCCTATGTATTTCAATGAATTTTTTCTTAACAAACTCATTTTGTTTTACAGCATTTTTAAAAAGGAACAGGTATACAGTTGAGGCCTGGTGAGAAAAGAGCAGAAGAGAACTAGTGCAAACTAGTGCAGGGAGTGTAACGAAAAAGAACAGACTATCTTTTTCTTTTTCTCCACTCGAAAAATATAAGGACTGTTTTTCTCAGTTGAACTAGTGCTACGCTGGAACTTTGTTGCTCGTCACCTCAACGCTTCGTTATATATTTGTTTCGTCCTCTAACTGCAAAAAGTGCAACCTAGTTCGACTAAAAAGGGCGGACCTATTGGTTCGATGAAGACGTATCGTCATAGCAACCAAACAAACAAGCTGGCGTACTCAAAGCACACATCGAATTTGTCACGCGACTGACGCCGTGCCGAAGGGGTGGCCGTGTCTGCGTGGGTTCGGTATTTTTTTTATTGCTTTGTCAAAATTACGCTCTAGAAATGCTCCCGTCGCCGATAATACACTGCGATTTACCGAAAACGAGGAGGTATCCCTTTGACGTGCCCGGTACTGCAAATATATCCTACGGGCACAAGTTAGCAGGACACGCGGATCGGCGGGTCGCAAAGCACCATGTAAATTCAGGTAGATCCATCCTTGAGTGCGCCGAAGAGCAACCGGAGGACAAGAGGGACTACGAGCAGGTTCTCAAGATTGTCGAGTTCGAGAAGGAGACTGATCGGAAGATCAAGAGCAAAATTCTCCGCCAACGAGCCCAACAAGGTATTAACGAAGAGCGCTGATGATTACACGATTCCGGCTTTCACATCCGCGTTTCTGGCTCTCGCGTTCTCGTTTCTTTGAGATACTTTGGTGTAACCGAGAGGTGAGTGTGTGAGAAAAGGAAGTAATTGAAACGGACAATGGGCGCTTCATTATTACATTCGTAATTTTCACTTGTTAATTTTGTTAGTGTGAAGCGGATTTCAGCAGGTAATTCTGGGTAATGATCGATACTGATTGATCGATAATTGCGATTAATTAACGTTAATTATAGATCGAAGAGTCTTTGTTGTCTACTAATGAATCTTTTCACTCTAGAATACGTTTTTGATGATTGAGAGTACACCAGTTTTAAATAATTATTTATTTAAAAAACTTTATTTAATAATATAAATTATAACTTACTGTTGTTCAGGCAACGATGTTAGTAATAATTTACTTTACAATTTAACGTGAAACAAATGGTGGATTTGGAACTCTTCTAAGACAAACATATCCTTAATCATAATAACGAAAGGATTAATTAATATGTTATCGCGCGTAATTACACCTGCAATCCCAATTTATTAATTTGCCTAATGTAAAGAAATATAGTTGGCTTTAACAGAAGTGGTTCTGTACAGTTAATTATTCAACGTTACATAACACTAATCGTGTACCTAAAATCAAATAGGTTTTTCAGTTTTTGTAATATACGCGGTGAATCTACCTTTCACGTCAACCGACCCTGAATCCTAATTTTTAATATTAATATTAATTAACACCCCTTCCTTTTAATTACCATCAGAGAGAAAGAGATTACGCATTTTTTATTTCAAATTATATTCGCTCCAACATCGGCGTTCTGCTCTTACTTGCCTAATAATATGTTTAAATGTAAAAAGAAGTTTCACAGAAACGGCTGCTGTTAACAGTTCCGCTGTTATTTTGTTTTTTGTTTTCTAATTTACACAACATGTTCATTAATATGTAGGAGAAACCGTGGCTAGATGCTTTATATTTTAGAATTTCGAATACAACTTTTCAGGCAAGTAGTGTTGTGACTGACCGTATAAACATGATGGAGGCAAACTTCTTTTATGTATTAATGTTTGCCACGATTTTGTTAACTATACATTTTGTTTTGTAATAATATGCGAACATAAAGCAATAGAGCCATTTTTTCCTGGTACTGGGTTCAGTTGTCCAATAGCGCAAAGTAAAGAAGACTACATATAAAATATATATCTTAGCAGTTCCACAATCTGCACGAGAAGTATCCATAGTTTTCCTGTCAATCTTTAATTGCGGGCCAACTTTACCTTGTCCGTCCATATGCTCTATTTCGATCATTTTATGTATGAAAATTGTATTTATCATCAAAAACACTATATCATATATTAGGACCTTAACTTAGTTTCCGCCCGCAAATGTTAGATGGCAATGCAAACAGTTCTAGTAGTCATTACTAACGAAACAGGTAGTTTGTGATTAATTTCGACATTTCTCGATAACATTCAGTCAGCATACACAATTATTTTCCTAAACAACAATTTCTTTTGCTTTGTGA